CTATATAGTCAAGTATTCTCCCTATATTTGATTGTACTTGGTCAGTTTCCTACGATTTAAGACTCCACGTCATCTACGATTTCTATGTAAACGAGTCTAAAGTAAAAGATAAATTAGATTTTATATATCTTGTTTCTGTTAATAATTGGTTAGTATAGCAGACTAGCAATCACAACAAACAAATTTATTGTCATTTATTTATTAAAGATACTGATGACTTGTTAAATTAACAAAATCCTTTCTCTCGTACACCTTTGACCGAATTTCTTTTGGATCGATTAACCAGATAAATGTGAGGATATCGCTATATCACTTATGTGGACAAACATAATTTTCCAAACGCTATATTAAAAACTGGACATAAAAATAAGACAAATAGAATATTACATAGCGGATAAAATCGCGAATACAAGTGAATATTATGTACAGAAAATAACGTCGCTTCTATGTATGGAAAATTGTAAATAAAAACTCTTTGATCCAGCAATCTAAACGATAACGAACTTCGATCTGCAGTATTTCGAGTACGTCGTTAAGCGCAGGTCCTTCAAATAGGGACATGCTCGCGTTAGTTTTGCGTTACTGACACCGCTCGGTATTTATTTTATTTTTTTTTTTTTTTTTCCAGAAGGGTCGTACACATCCGGCTGTAACGGCAGTGTTGACGAAACAATTGCCGCGAAAAACTGAAAAAAAAATTTTTGGCGCCTGTCAAAAATCTATGGGGATGCGTAGCCATGCGTGCGCATGCATTCGCAAACGGTGAATATCTTGCACAAAGCGCAAATACAGCCGCGCGGCGAGCAATCCGGTATAAACGCCCCAGTATAGCTCTTTGATGCTGGGTTCAGTGATCACCCTTCCAAATACGCCCCCGTAGCATTCGTATTACGATTCAACTTCATCCCAGATTCCTGCCGAATGTATATAAACTTTAATAGCCTGTTAAACGTAAATTAGAATGTAGCCGCGCGTTGAAATTCGCTGCGAATACCGCGAGCGGTATTCCTTACGCGCGGCGCGTACGGTGGATAACATATAAAAATGTGTGCATACGCGAGATGGATCATAAATGGATTACATACTTTATAATCCGAACTACGTGGCAAACTATATATAATATTATAACGGCGAACCGGAATCAGCGCGTTTACGTACCGCGAAAAATCATATAAATTCACATAGCGTACGTGTAAAGCTCAATGAGTATTCGCGTGATGTGTAGTGATATAAATAAAAGCAGAAGAATATAAAAATATATACATTACACTGGAATATTAAAAGGGTGGAATATCAACAGATTTCTTGCATTTGTGGAGAGATGCAAGGAATAAGATGATGCGAATCGGTATTTTATTCAGCAGAGCTCGTTTGCGAGAATACTAAAAGCTCGCGCATTGATACATCGAAGAATTATTACTGAATTTATGAGCGGCATTCGGATCCTCTTGGTAGGAAAAAAAAAAGGAGTGATAAAAACGGCCGCCTCATCGCGAGCGTACTAATGGGTTTTCGATAACCAATTCGGATAATCGGGGCGCGCTGAAAAATCGACGGAAACCTTCGATTAAACCCAATAATTACAAAGTCCCTTATACACACATTACACTCACCATCACGCGGACACGCAAACTACGATGTGGCGGCTACCACTGGCGGCGCGCCATAAATACGCCCGGTCTTTGATGCAGCGGTCAGCGGTCCTCCAAAACGGCCACGTTGCAACCCCTTCGTGGTCGGGGTCTCGACGTAGCAGCACCTAACACCCGATCATCGTTCTCGGAATTCCCTTACACGTTGGCTGATTTTATGTACCGGCGACGACGCCGCGCTACGCTTATAAACCTGAGCGCTTCACAATGCAGGTCATTCTCGAGTTCTCTACTCTCGCTTACCATCTCTCTACTGGCGCATCCTTGATACCCAAATAACATTTTCCCCTTCGGCGAAGGCAGCAATCCGATGAAACATGTTCGCCAGGAGCGATAATGAACCACGATACAGGTTAGCCATCAAAACAGGCTTCGCCATTGGGAATCTGCTGGAAATAACACGCGCGAATCATCCTGGAGTACGTCAGGTAATTTTCTGGAGTGCGCCCCTCGCGTCGTAATGCAATAAACATAAAGGGGAGACGAATCTGCTTATTTGCGAAAAATGAATTTACCCGCGTTACTCGTTCCGTCAGAGAGAATAAGAGAAACGGGACGCTCGTCACAGAAATTCTCTCGTTGTCTGATATTCCGATTCGCAGTAGGGAAATACCCCTCCCCTTCCCCCCCCTCTCTCTCTCTCTCTCTCTCTCTCTCTCTCTCTCTCTCTCTCTCTCTCTCTTTCTCATTCATTTGCGTGAGAGAGTGCCGCCTCGTCAAAGTGCATAAATTCGCGTGATTGCGCGTACAGGTCGATGTAACAGTCTTCTGCGCGTTCGGCGTGCCGATTTTATTTAGGAATGCTCTTTCCTCTTTCGAATCCGTTTCAATTTTGCTGACGGACGTTTCCTCCGGTACATATTTGTTCGAACGAAAGCGCGTTATCTATTCAACATAATGCATAAAACTCCATGGTCGGCTAATGGAACGAAATGGAATATGAGCTGTCATAATTATTCTAGGAATCTTTTTAATACAGTTCGCTACGTTTTTCGAGCTGCATCTATAATCTGATATATAATGCTCTATGATAAATTATATTTATTCGCTTCCTGACCATAATATCGATGTGTGTGTGTGTGTGTGTGTGTGTGTGTGTGTGTGTGTGTGTGTGTGTGTGTGTGTGTAAGCGCTTTAAGTTCTTACTTTAATTATATACGAAGTCAAAATTATCACAATTCTTCATCGTAAAATTCTATAATTTTTTCCTGATTTCCATATAAAATTTCATGACTTTTTCTAAAACTCTTAATAATATTTTATAATTTTTTTGTATTTTCGTCTTGATTTAGAAACTGTGAAAATTTTGTATTTTGTTGAAAGAGCAATTTAATTAACAGAGCAATGTAAATTAATATTGCTAAGTGCTGACACTACTTGCATTTAATTGTTACGTTGGTAGTATTTTAAAACTGCGTAGATGTGATGTATGATATTAAACTTCTTTAAAACAAGAATTTTAATTCCTAAAAAATTTTAAAAATTTCCTAATTTTTCCCTGATTTCCCTGAATATTTTCAATTTTCTTGATTTCTCCACAGAAAAAAATGAATTCTTAATTCATGTATATTTTTATTCTTGAATGCTATTTACTTTCATTTAAGTATAAAATGTTCTCTTTAATTAGGATAATTATAAAGTATAAATGTTCACTGGCATCAATAATAAATAATAATATATAGATTTATGCAAAATATATTTTATTCTTAAAATTATATTCTTCTAAAATCATTATATGATTCTAATAAACTCAATCGCATTATTTACAAACTATTTATTCTTAATAATTACAAAAAATTCGCCAGCAGGCGGCAACAGTGTGTATAAGGACTCCTCAATAATATCAAGATATCGGAAGTGCACGAAATGAATGATGATTGACGGTTATTTTGTGAACTTTTGCACTCGTTCATACCTTTAAATGTAGTTCAATCTTTAAGAGTAGATGAAATATTCAGCTCGTCCTAATGTTTCTGTCAATTATATTGCAAATGGGGTGCGAACAGCCGGCCGACTTTGTCACTGCGACGTGAGAGACGCCTATACATGCAGGTAAATTTTCCGCAGCGGATTCGCGGATCTGCTATCCATAGTTAAATGGATGAGCAATGAATCCGTTGCAGCAGAATCCGCCTGTACATGCAGTCAACGTTCTCTATCATTGTGACAAGGTTGATCGTCTGTTTGCATCCTTATTTGCAATATGGCTAATGGAGATATTAGTAACGGTCTCAGCATTTCACTTGCCTTTGAACTACATTAGTAGAGAGTACAATCCAAGTTTGATTCAGTTTTCCTTGAGAGTTTATATCCCGTGCACATTAGAAGGCATGTTCTATAAATATGGTACTTCATTTACAAAGCTATCATCACTTACTGCAGTATTAATTTCTGTCATCTTGATGTTATTGGAAAGCATACTGGAGGGATTTGAAATAAGTTGACAAAAAGTATCATTGAAGAAAAAAATAATGTTAATATAAGCATATTTAGTGTTGAATGAGTGCAACTTTATTTTTTTATTGAAATAAAATTTGTTTTGAACTTAAAATAAAATTTATTTTATTTTACGAATAATTTATTGTTAATTGGAAATGGTTTATTCTTGCTGCTATTCTAAGCACACAATATTCTTGGAAATACGTAAAAGCATTTATGTATTTCTTTAAGAATTCATTTTTTTGTGTGTCTAATTTTCAATTTTGTCATTCCAAGAAATTTAGAGTATTATACATAGATACACTGAAAGAAAAGATTAGTTGCTGCAGCAAATTACATGGTAAAATATGGCACAGCATTTTTAACTGGCTGCAGCAGCTAATTCTTGGTTGCAGCAGCCAATTGTTGGTAGCCTATCTACAATGTCAATAAAGGATTTCGATAGACTAACATAATCAAAAATTGGTAGCTGCAACCAATTAAAAATGCTATTCGACCAAGCTTTTCTTTCAATGTAGTCACATTACGTATGACAATCCACGTGCAAATTCACGTTCACGTATGCATGCGTGTGCAAAAAATATATATATCTCTTCACCTTTCCAGAGACGGTAACATAGCATAGAAAGCTCAAACGAGTTTTATAGAGACCTATCTTCATGCATCACCTCGCGCCCACTTCGTGCAAGGTGTATCGACATGTCGATACTACCTGCTGTTACCATCGAATCCCGCGTCTTCCCGCCGCATGGTATATCGCTCCCGGCTGCCATTGCCGCGAGATAAACCTCTGGAAATTGGATTTACATGACGCGGATTAGGATAACCGAATCTGATAGGCCGACTCTCCCTGTCTGCCGCATCATTGGAAATGTATTCCGAGTTCTCTATAGTACGGCTAGTAACTATCGAACGTGTAAAATGTGAGACGGGAAGATATAGATATCACGGAGGAATTTGGCGACGCGTTATTATCTCATGTGTTTGCACGAGGCTAAAAGCATTGTTGAGCTTAGCAGCTTCAAGTGTGACGAATCAAAAATCGCATCTCTGCTTTCCAATTAATAACCTTATTCTGTAAAAATGTTTAATGTTTGTAACAATCGTTGAGGTCTTTAAGTGGATATAAATTGATAAGATCGTCTTAATTTTTGAAAATTTTTCATTTCCTTTTCTTTTTAATTTTATATTGCGTAATACATTAAAAATGCATTATGCATTATCAAATAATAGACGTAAATTCTTTTTAAAAATGTTTTAGAATAATTTAAATGTTTTAAAATAAAGATGTTTTACAGGAGAAACTATACTTTGTTGTTATTAGATACATTCACCTAAATCATGTGCAGAGGAAACTTGTTTTATCGCAACTCGGTAACTCGGTAACTTTTATAGGACCGACACTTACAAACTGTTACACGTGGCTCCGCTATATTCCTGCTATATTCCTTGACAATCAACTTTATGTGATATGATACATCCCTCGTTCCAATTCCAGCGGAATATGGCGTACATAGAATTCCTCGACAAATTACTCCGGATTCGGTAAATCCGTATACAGTGGACTGCATAAATCGAGATAGGGGGAAAGGCATCCGCGAGCAGTAACGGAGTCTATCGTCCACTTAAGAATCTCCCCCGAGAATTATTCAACATTAATCGAAACTTACGGAATTCTAGATTATCCATCGCGTCATCGCTGTCGTGACTGTCGTCGTTGCCGGATATTCGGAATTTCAAATGGACCGTGACTTACGAATATTCAACAGGCACTTCGCACACTCGACACGAAGCACACTTTGCACACGATATCGTTTAGACAATCGCACTGCGCTTTCTCGACACCGGCATTTACACTATGGAATCCGATTTCGTACGTATTGGATAACTTCACGAATCGCTATTCTTCGCAAAGAGAAACGGATCGACGCGCGACTTCATTTCTTCTTTCTCCATCTACTAACGGATTGCGACTTGCGCGTTGACGCGAAAAATGATGTTTTTACGTGCTTTTGTAAAAAAAAAAAAAAATTAAAGAAAGAAAAAAAAATAGCACGAACGGAAGAAAGAACGGATTGTGAAGTCAAGCCCGGCGAACGAATAAAAGTATATTGTATGGATGCAATCTCGATACACTTCCACTAACAAAAAGAGCTAGCGCGACTTGCACGGATAATACCTCGGATAATAGTTGATTTATGATCAGATCATATACTCCATCGAACTTTAGGGACACATTAAACTTTTATAACGTTCTCAAAAGTATAACGGCTTTTCGTGATACTTCCGACCACACGAGAACGATCCGCACTCTACTTTGTCGGTAAATCTTCTTCGAACGGTGAGGTTTTCGAGTCGACTCTATCCATCAACGTCGCGCGGTGCACACGGCATCCATTTTACCTAATATCCACTAGCGTAATCCGTTTTATTTCATATCAGCCCGGGCTACCCGCTTAACCATAGCAGAAATCATTTTTTCCTCGCTGCGACGGGACCAGCCGCAGTTAATCACACAAATTCGACGATCAATATTGGAATCGATTTTGGTAGCGCGATTTTGCAGCGCGATCTCCATCCGCGACTCCAATTTCGCCAGGGAGCAGCAAGTAAGGGCCTGGCATTCCGTGACGACGAAATTCCTTTCCTGTCAGGTCGTCGTCCGTGAATTTACGACCACGAAAGTAGTCAGCCCTGAAAAATGCTATCCGCGGTCAAAAATTTACGGGCATGCGATGCGGTTGTTCAGGAGGTGAAAAAGTAGCTCGGAAGGCGGAATAGGAATTTTGCCGTTGCGAAATATGTACTGTGTTTCCTTCTTCATGCCGACGAGACACTCATGCGCGTAATACGTACGATAAATTTTACTGAAGTGTTTATTCACTGTGCAATCTGTGTTGTCAGTCTCGGCTTAGAGTCATTTATTAATAAATAATTAAAAATCGATTAATCACAACAAAACCTACATTACTTTTAGACAATTATTCATATAACCAACTAATTCACGTTCAGAACACTCCGTGTATTTTCATGTGTTTTCGGACTACAGGTGTTTTCGCAAATTGACATACTCTTCAGTATTGGCGGGAAATACTACACAGGGGAACCCATTACCTACACATACATGGAGGACAAGATCTTCGAGACTTCTCGGAATGTCACAATCAAGCTTCATCACCGAGTTGGAAAATTCGTTAAGCTGAGACTCCATTTCTCGGATCGATGGATCATGGTCAGCGAAGTCACCTTCGATTCTGGTGAGACAAATATTTATATCTTAATATATTTTACTCTTTTATATTTTGTAAAAATATGAGCTCGTATGTGTTATTTTTTTCGCCCTTTCATCAGTAAATATATTTGAAATAATCATAATAATTATTAAATAATTTTTTTATTATGGAATTTACGCTTTTATAAACATTTAACTAATATTAGACAGAGAGAAAAACTAAACTTTTCCTTCCATTAAAAAAACAATTCTTTCTCCTTTTGAATATAAGACAGAAAACCTTTCTAAATGAGCAATAATTTTTCTTCTTCCCAGCGTTAAGGAAGAAATAATAACGTGAAACTAATGAAATTCGTCGAAACGTAAGGAGCGTACTAATTTAGAAAATTGTACATTATCTTTGAACGCAAAGTCAGTGAAAACATGTAGCGTTTTCTCTTGAGAAATTTATGAAACTTTATTCTACAGTTTACTCACGCGCGCGCATGTTTGATACAAACGTACAGTTTAAATTCAATGTTTCCAAATCTCCATAATCGTGATCGAGGCAACTAGGGCAATAGAAATTTATTCGTTTCATGAGGGTGGTAGGAAGAATGACGAAGTTAAAAAGAGATACCGCGATCCGTCATTTAATTTCACTGAATCCATCATCTCTCGTCCATCCGACCCGTGACAGCTCCCAGCAGTACGTGCCGGTCGAAATTCCGGAATACATTAAAACCCTCGAACGAGGATATATTTCCACGCTGATCCGCGCGCCATAACGGACAAAAACAATGGCCGGGAGGAAAAAAAAAGAGCCATGGGACATCGCATCGCGGACGGAACTAGGGACGAAAATTTCTGCTCGTGACGCGTTTCGTGATACAAGCCTTCATCGTAGTTGAAGAGATCACGGGGAAAGAGATGGCCGATGGAGAATGTATTTCTTTTTGCGATTCTGCCATTTCATTCCAATTTGGCACAACCATCCTTCCGCACTGTTCCACTTCTCTCTCTCTCTCTCTCTCTCTCTCTCTCCCCTCCCTCCCTCCCTCCTTCTCTCTCTCGCCCTCTCTTCATCTTTACTCCCTCGACTACCGATTGCCGCTTGTCAATCATCGAAAAAATAAATCTCGAAGTTGATTTAAACCGATACGTGCGGTAATTGACAATGGCTTATCGTATATCTGCCAGGCAGCGATTTCAAAACGGACGGTGCTCGGGAATGGAGAGCACGCGAATGGAAGAGAGAAGTAGGTGTATGCAAATAATCTATATCGTGTCTCCTTACGCGGCATCTCTCCGGTTTTGACATCACGCGTATAGAAAAATCGACTATAATTCGATTTAGTGTTCACTTGATAGAAATCGATTTCCCTCCTCTTTGCGATCGGCTTCCTGAGAAAGAAAACGCTGCGCGGCGAAAACGTTAGAAGAGAAACGGCGCTTTATCAACGGAGATATAAATCGCGAGATATGTCTCCATATCTTGAGTATGCACGATTTTGAGAGCGACTTTCGCCTCGTCCCATCGTTCTCGCATTCCGTCTGATTTAACACGGATTCAATAGAAATCTTATGGAGTTCATCCGCATTTACAGTACGATGCAACTGCCGAATAAAAAGGATTTATAATCAAGATGAACAGAGAGGAAGAGGTGCAAGAAATACAGTGAGATACAGTCGTAAAATACGCCATGTAGAGATTATATTCCAGTCTACTTGACGTTTAACATTATTCAGTATTCTAGAATAGCATTATAAAATCATTATGTATACGTATAACAGTATATACGTATTATATATACGTGTATAACAATGGATATACAATATGTCGCACATTATGGATGTCAAGTTGAAATTAAGATCGACAATTCTGGGACAGCTTAATAGAATCACGAGAGCAATATTATGAGAATGTTAAAACAAGGAATCAGGTCAGGATATTTTTATCTTTAATGCCTGAATATATGCGAATTGTTACAATTGTTACAATTCAATCAATCAATTTACGTATCACTTTCGTTTATTAATTCAATTAAATTGAGAAATCACAATGTAGGAAATATATAATACTTACAAGTAGTCATCGAACAATTACGTTACAAAACTATAAAATCATCCCTCACTCTTTCGAATTTCTCTGTTCTATCATAAGGCATTTTTCATAAAATATAAAAACAAGAAAATTTCTCAATAAAGAGACAAACGATCATAACTAAAGCCCGTATTTAAAATCTTCTAAAGAACTCAGCTAAAACCAGTCTTGAGACAGTTCAATAAAAAACTTAAGAATCAATTTGATATTCAATATTTGCAATCGCGATTTAATTTAAGGAGCCAGATGAAATTTGTAGAATTTTTAAAATGGTTATTAGCATCGGATTATTAATATCCTTTTAAAATGCCTATTGACATCAATAATGTTATTAAATTGCTTGTCAATTTATTATTACTTTAATTCCGTTTATAATTGCATTTCAAGACTGAAAATTTATTTCGATGCACAGTTTGCAGGATTGAATATAAAATTCAACATCGAATTATAAGTATAAGATCTAGTTCAGACTGTATAAAATTTTCATTTGTCAGTATATTCATATTATTCATATTACGGTCTTAAAGACTTTGTTCAATATTGTAAATGAAATTTGTCTTGAGACATAGCGTGAATTTTATTTCTTGCGATTCAGTATTCAATTCTTAAGAGAAATGTACGTAAATATATGTACGTAAATATACATACATATATAAATAGTTTTGTGAATTATTATGAATAAACATATTCGATATAATACGGTTTCTCACGAATAAATTGATTCGATGATTAATATATTATCAACCTTAAAAAAACGTTATAAAAGCATAAATTATATTTTTCTAAAATGATATAAATATAATAAATTTATGATAGAAAAATTGTCAAAGCACTGTTCGCTGAATCTGATTTATAAAAAAGTATATGGTAATTCTACGAGCAATGTCACATATTATGATACATAGCAAATCTGCAACGGAAACGCGACATAAAGCTGAGAGATCGCGATCATTCCTCATCCTTTAAAGTCAATCCCTTCAATTTTTCTTGACAAAAGAAGAGCTTTTGCACAGAAATGCACGGAAAGCTTTTGTGCGAGTGAGCAAGTCATCGAACGGCAATGATGATACGAAATTTTCGACAAATCCGATACATCGTTCGTGACAAGAGTAACTTTAACAGCTTTTATATAGCCGAAAAACTTCTATTCAGGGCAGACCGCTAATGACATGGATTCGCTTTTTCCGTTTTATTCACGTGAGAGTTTTTTGTTAATTGTACCGTGTAACTGTATAGACGAACAACAAGCGATTTTTTTATCTAAATCGTTTTACATCTTACGTAAACCTACCAATCTCCACACTATATTTTTCTAGAAAATAAATTATAAATAATATAATTGCAATACATAAGAAATCTGAATTAATATAAATATTGAAAGAAGATTTTTACTTGTCTGAAATCTTCTTTAAATAAAAGCATTCGTTAATTAGGAAAATAATAGTTGCATCATCTATGTTTATACGTATAAATAGTAAGATCTAAAGAGATCACGTACTAATGATATTTTTCGAGCGGAAATAAAATTAACTAAGGGAAGAGGTGAGTAAAATTCAGAAATTCTGAGGAAACCGTAATCTTCGCATTGTAATGAGAAATTACGCGACGAACTAATGGGAGATAAGAACATCCCCGCTCTTATTCAAGGTATTTACGTACAAAGGGTCGTTTGTCGAGAGGACTTAGCGACGTAGCGACGAGATCATAAAGCATGCACGAAACTCTTTGCCCGCTTCCTTCTGCTCCCTTTTTCCACGTCAAAGGATATATGCAAAAATGCATGCCAGACGGCGCTTTCGCAGGCGCATAAAATGCATAGTAAATCGCAATAACAATGAAGTTAACATGCAAAATACCTTTCAACAATTCCCAACGCGGTCATTACGGTAATTTAATTATCGATCGATTCTAGAGACGTGCGTGTTAGACTACTGTATATCGTGATTGTTTGCCTACAATATAAATCGCTTTATAATTAAGAAGAAACTTTTCGAGACCGCCGCACATGTAGGGAATAAATAAATAACACGAGCTCGCAATAACGAACAGACAGACAATCAATATTAATTTAGTTATACTTCACAATCGCGAATTGTCATCGACAGCGATTGATGGCGATGAATCTCGTAAATCTATAGACATAAAAGAAATTTAATATTACTCATCTCTTTCGCGACATTTAATGGATTCGTTAAATATTCTCAAATTACGATTATAATTAAAAGTCGAATTACCGATGATGATCATCATCGCGGAACGTTCGGCATTGTTCAAAATATCCGTCGATAACAATGTCAAGAAAAACGAAAGAAATTCGTATGCTTCCGGCGGGAGATGTATTCATAGATAATTATGAGCTATTTCTTGTAGATAATGATGTAAGTAGGCAACTTCTATAAGAGAGCATCTAGCTCTCGTTCAAGATATTCGCATATAGAGAGTTGTTTGTCAAGCGGATTTATCGCTATTAACGAGATCACATAAACCGAGCGAGGGAATCTGAAACTCTTTGCCCCTATTATATTTATAATACTCGTTTGCCCCCCCCCTTGTCACAATATGCCATCGAAATATGCGTCTTTCAAAACGGTTGATGTATAGATGAGCGACATTACTGTCATGAAAAGAATATTGAATAAAATTCGTTAATTGATGTAAAAATCGAGAAAACTCTTCATCAAGAAAAGAGAACTCATATATTATTAAATTATACGTATATTAACTCTTTATGAATGGGTGACCTTATTTGCAATTACCCCTTTTCATTTTGTAAACTACTCGTACAATTTTTACTTGAAACTTGATTTATGAAATAATTTGATAATGGTTTATTTAAATCTCAGACAGAAAAATAAAAAATTTTAAATGATGACTCCAATATGGACAGAAATTTTAAAAAATAATTTGATTATCACACACATAGAACTCAGTTTTTTGGAGAA